CAGGACTGGTGACAGATCAGGTGAGGCAGTGTGGGAGAGGAAGGTGTCAAGGAAGGCACTTAGCTCAGGAAACGGGGTCTGGTGGTACCACTGGCTGAGATGGAGCAGGGAGCAAGTTTAGGAGAGCGAGTAGAACTCAGGTGTACAAACATTGAGTTAAATGAGATGCGGTGATACAGCTAAGTGAAAAACCAAGAAGGCTGTTGGTTAAATGTGGGGAGTAGAAAAATTCCTTTTTAAAGTTTCCTTTCTTGTTAAAGAATAGGTGTGCTGATAACTTTGTTAAGACCTATCCTATGTCGCTGTTAGACATATCATGCTTACAGGCACATAGTACATTCTATGTCCTTGTACTTTAACCAAGATATCTGTGCTGGACGTGCTCACAGGCATGGCCCAGCTCTCCATTGCTTCTACATGTTTAGAAAAGTTTTGAGTTATTAACCAATTGGGTTTTAGCTTAGATTGTGAGGTCTGGCTCCAGCCAACGGAGATCAGACACAGGAGTAAGGACGACCCCAGATATGTAAGGGATACATTTGTGTGTTTTCCTTTGTTCATTGTACTCTTGTGGCATGATGGCTGGTAAGGGTACCCTTCCTGCAGTCCAGGAAGTAAAAATTGCGTCGCTGAAAGATCCTTTAAAGTCTCAGTACTAATTTTTCTTTGCGGTACCAAGCATCTATTTCCAACAATAAATCACCAGCATTTCAAACTTAAGGTGTAAAAAGGTGAATTCTTCATTTACCTTATTCTGAAATTCAGAGACATCTAGGTTAGAAACGGAAATGTATTTTTTTTTTTTTTAGCATTATGAGAGCTATTTAAGTCACTTATAGATGATACTATCTAGGGAGAACACATAAACAGAGAAGAGTCCCGAGAACCAAACCCTAAGGAACTCCAACATTGGGAGGGTGGATCTAGAAAAGAAAGGCAGGAGCCAGGCGCCGTGGCTCACGCCTGTAATCTCAGCACTTTGGGAGCCCAAGGTCAAGGCAGGTGGATCATGAGATCAGGAGTTCAAGGCCAGCCTGGCCAATATGGTGAAACCCCATCTCTACTAAAAATACAAAAATTAGCCAGGTGTGGCGGCATGCGCCTGTAGTCCCAGTTACTCAGCAGGCTGAGGCAGAAGAATTGCTTCAAGCCAGGAGGTGGAGGTTGAAGTGAGCCAAGACTGTGCCACTGCACTCCAGCCTGGGTGACAGAGTGGGACTCTGTGTCAAAAAAAAAAAGGAAAAATAAAGAAAGAGAAGGCAGGAGAGAGTGCCAGTACCTGAGGGGAGCCAGAAAGGAAGGGTTCACAGGACAAACGCAGCCTAGAACTGTGCTTACGTTGTGCTCCAGAAAACATACAGACACCAGATTCCTGCTTCCTGTTTCCTTATGTGAACCCAAAGTATCTGAGACAGGTCTCAACCAATTTAGAAAGTTGATTTTGCCAAGGTTGAGGACACGTGCGGGTGACACAGCCTCAGGAAGTTCTGATGACATGTGCCCTAAGTGGTGAGGGCACAGCTTGGTTTTATACATTTTAGGGAGACACAAGGCACCAATTAGTATGTGTAAGATGAACATTGGTTCAGTCCAGAAAGGCAAGACAACTTGAGCCGAGGGATGGGGCTTTCAGGTCATAGGTGGATAAGATCTAATAGTTGCATTCTTTTAACCTTCTGATCAGCCCTTCCTTGTGGAATTAGGAATTTCCTTGTGGGCAAATTATGAGAAAGTTAGGTGGCTTTTTTTCTTCTTCTTCTTTTTTTGAGACAGAGTTTCAGTCTTGTTGCCAGGCTGGAGTGCAATGGCGTGAACTCCGCTCACCATAACCTCCGCCTCCTGGGTTCAAGCAATTCTCCTGCCTTGGCCTCCCAGTAGCTGGGATTATAGGCATGCGCCACCACGCCCAGCTAATTTTGTATTTTTAGTAGAGACGGAGTTTCTCCATGTTGGTCAGGCTGGTCTCAAACTCCCAACTTCAGGTGATCCGCCCGCTTCAGCCTCCCAAAGTGCTGGGATTACAGGCGTGAGCCAACGCACCTGGCTGCTTTTTTAAGTTCTTTGTAGCTATCTTATTTAGGAAATAAAATGGGAGGCAGATTTGCCTGAAAGTTCTCAGCTTGACTTCTTTTCCCTTGGCTTAGTGATTTTTGGGGTCCTGTGATTTATTTTCCTTTCACACTTGTGGGAGGAAGTGGCCCAGACTCGTGGAGTCTCAGTGTCAAAGTCTAGGCTGCTATAGAGGAAGCCCATGTGCTTGTCTAAGTCTACTCATTTCTCTACACTAGCAGGTGGCAGGTGGCTGGGCATGGTGGCTGGGCGTGGTGGCTCACACCTGTAATCTGAGCACTTTGGGAGATTGAGGCAGATGGATCGTGAGGTTGGGAGTTCAAGATCAGCCTGGCCAGCATGGTGAAACCCCGTTTCTACTAAAAATACAAAAATCAGCCACGTGTGGTGACGGGCATCTGTAATCCCAGCTACTTGGGAGGCGGAGGTTGCAGTAAGCCGAGATTGTGCCACAGCACTCCAGCCTGGGCAACAGAGCAAGACTCCACCTCAAAATAAATAAATAAAAATAAACAAACATATCTGGCAGCAATTTTCAAGTTCTCAAAAGAGATGTGAAAGAAAAAAAGTTTAAATCAGCGTATTAATTGATGAGGACATTTTATTATCATGGGATTATGGAGACAAATGATTGCTAAAATCATAATGCTTTCTGAGGGGGGAAGATAATAAGGTAGAAAGAGAAGAAATGGGTGAGATCAAGGGAAACGGCAGAGAGAGATTTAAAAAAAAACCGCAGCAGGAAATGAGAATAAGAATATGACTAACAATGCCTGAGCCCCCCCACCCCTCCTGAGTGGCCTCCCTCTCTCAAAGGCTTCCGGGCATCTGCCCACGAGCTGACTCACCCTGTTCAGTCATCACGGATCACTGCAGTCTCATGCTGTCTCGACCTCCCCGGCTCAGATGATCCTTTCGCATCAGACTCTCAAGTAGCTGGGACTACAGGCATGAGCCAGCACACCTGGCTACATTTTTTTTTTTTTTTTTTTTTTTTGAGACAGACTCTTACTCCGTCGCCCAGGCTGGCGTGCAGTTGCACAATCTAGGCTCATTGCAACCTCTGCCTCCCAGGTTCAAGCAATTCTCTCCCTCAGCCTCCTGAGTAGCTGGAATTACAGGCACCTGCCACCATGCCCGGTTAATTTTTTGGTTTTTTCCCTTGCTTGCTTTTTAGATGGAGTTTTGCTCTTGTTGCCCAGGCTGTTTGTTTGTTTTTTGAGACAGATTCTCACGCTTTAGCTCCCTGGAGTGCAGTGGCACTATCTCGGCCCAACAACCTCTGCCTCCTAGGCTCAAACGATTCTCCTGCCTAAACCTCCCGAACAGCTGGAATTACAGGCGCACACTCCTACACCCAGCTAACTTTTGTATTTTTAGTGAAGATGGGGTTTCCCCATGTTGGCCAGGTTGCTGTCGAACTCCTGACCTCCAGTGAGCCACCTGCCTCAGCCTCCCAAAGTGCTGGGATTACAGGGGTGAGCCGCTGGGCCCGGCCTGCTGCCGGATATGTTTAAGAGGATTTTGTCTCTTTGGTAGGGAGAAGGGAAGAGGAATCCTCACCCTAATGCCCAGTAGTAGTTCAAGGAGGTACGATTCTATGCAGAATGGTCTCTGGCGTCTAGCCCAACAGGCCAGAAATACAGATAGCTGACTTATTGGGGAAGTCCTACTATTTAAAAGAAACTATCCTTTTCCTAATTATAAAATTGTATTTAATTTAATTAATTTATTTTTGAGATGGAGTTTTGCTCTTGTTGCCCAGGCTGGAATGCAGTGGCACAACCTCCACCTGCAACTCCAAGCTCAACTCCAAGCTCACTGCAACCTCCGCCACTCAGGTTCAAGCAATTCTCCTGCCTCAGCCTCCCGAGTAGCTGGGATTACAGGCATGTGCTACCATGTCCAGCTAATTTTTTTGTATTTTTAGTAGAGATGAGGTTTCTCCATGTTGGTCAGGCAGATCTCGAACTCTCAACCTCAGGTGATCTGCTCGCCTCAGCCTCTCAAAGTGCTGGGATTATAGGTGTGAGCCACCGCGCGCGGCCATAAAAATATATTTCATTGTAGAATTGGGCTCCTGAAACTTGAAGGAACATATGACTCCCCTGGGGGGCTTGTGTGGCGGCAGTGTCTGACTCAGGAGGGCTGTGGTGGGGCTGGGATGCCGCATTTCTAACAAGCTCCCTGGTGGTGCTGAGATCACTGGTGGACAAACCACACTTCAACTATCAGAGATTTAGCAAACAAACGAAAAACAGCTAGATTACAGAAGCCGGCTGTAAATCTGCCTCTTCAAATGGGACATTGCTTTCCATTCCTCTCTCCATGCCGGACTAGCTCAGGGCTCCAGGCTTCCCCCTCCAAATCACCGAGAGCATCTAGAGAGAGAACAGATGGAGAAGAGGATGTAGAGTCGCTGGGGAGGCCAGAGGTTTGGAACAAGTTAAACAACAAACCATACAGAAGACTCAAGTGGAAAGGTCAGGATAAAAAATACAAGACTGACATACCGAACAGAATTCCTGGAATAGATTGACCCAGCCAAGAAAAGAATTAGCAAGAATGAAAGATCAATTTGAGAAATTCTGATAGGAAGGAAAGGATTTAAAAAAAAAAAAAAAGAAACATTTTGAAAAGTTAGAATCATGAAGGACAGACACAGAACTGTTAATATCCAGGTAATAGGAGCTGCAAAAGGAAAGGGAAGATATGGAGAGAAGGTGACATTCAAAGACAGAATGGAGGTTAGTTTCCCAGAATTAAAGAGAGATAAAAGACCTCAGGCTGAGAGAACCCATAGAGGCGGCAGGGGAGAGATGAGGAAAAACTGACATCTATGCAAAATATTGTGAATCACAGAATGTCAAAGACAAAGTCCTTAAAGTATTCAGAGAAAAGGAGCAGATCTGACAAAGACACCCCTCGACACACACAGCTTACTACGTGAACAAATCAGAGGATCCTTACACAGATGGGGGCAGGGAGAGAGGACAGCAGTGGGTGGGAGGGCTGAGGTGGCTCCCAAGGAATCTCTGCTTGCTGGCGCCGTGAGCAGACCCCAGGATACAGGAAGGGCCATCTCCTTACAGACCAAGACTGCACTCTTGGCTCTTCCTGACATCAGTACCTCCTGGGAAGGAAGGATGAGCACTCATCTTTTTGGAGTTAGGGCATACCCATGTGGAAATGTCTCAGACAGAAGCTGCTGGCTGCTCAGGGTTACCACTGACAGCAAGCTGGTCCTCAGCTTTGCAAGTCAGGGCCCTGAGAGAGGGTCCACCTCCGGGTGACTGGCACTTACTCAAAGAGCTGGGGACGGGCTTGCCTCTGTAGATCCCCCTTCTGCTGGTGGCCAGGGACACTTTTGGCTTCCTTCTCCCCACAGCCCCTAGCTTTTGCTGATTGGGGTGGGGACAGAGGGATGGAAAATGGACACTTGACCTAAGTGAAGTG